CTCTGCCACCTCCCTCCATGCCTGGTTCCTCCGGTTTGTATCCCGGTGAGTTATTAGCGACTGGTCATAAAGAACCGGGTGATTTGCTACCGTAATAACAAATTTCTCCTCCATTTTTAGGAATATAGAAAATGAACTGCGGTATGTCTCTCCCAGCTTACACGTGGTTTGATTGGCTAGCGCTTGTACTGACAGATTTGCATAAACGGGATTTGATTGGCTGACGCTTCAACCTCAGCTTCAAAAGTTGAACATTGCTCAACTTTTGAATCCTGGAAATCCTGGAAATCTTTGCTTTGCTTCCCCACAATGCAGTTCGGTGAAAAGCGAGGTTAACTAACGCTGCTGTGTAGACGGGCCGTAAAAGTCAGAGGAGAGTTTTTCTGATCTTAGGTTTCACTTCCTTCATTGCTCTCTCCATAACTGTAGATGACAACTATAGAATTACTAATAATATCAAACAAGTCTTTTCAGATGAGGGTCACTAAGGTGATCAAATGACCGTCCATGACCTAATGTGGTTATCAATCAAGTACAGATCACATAGATGTAGCTGTTGTTGATACAGAAGGGGGTTGAGAACCTCAGAAACTTGTTTTCCAATAAGAGACAACAAACTGCTCATCATTTTATATTTTAATACATATCATCCTTTTTTTGTAGTTCCTTTTTATAACTATAAGTGAACTCCTCATCCCTGGGTTCAACAAATTCATTCTCTTTATCCACGGAGTAGATTCATGTGTGGACATCACATGAGACTCTTGGCTCTCCTTGTTTTCCTCTGGGACGTATTTGTTCATACACATAATGGGGAATAAACACCACGCACCAACATGATTGTCTTTACAGGTGGATTTGAGGTGATAATACACGGGGAATAATACATCAAGCAACGTTTGTCGTAGATAGCTTTGTTCTTCAGCGCTTGCTGTGTTATACAAATTAATACTTTCCCATTTTCCCATCTGCTGGGGGAAACGCTGCCAACGTTGGTGTTACCCTGAGAATATTTCATGGCAGCCGAGAGTGGAAATAATTTGAGTTTTGAGACCTCAGTTGTCTTTTGTTCTTAGCTTCTCATACCAAATTTGCTATAGTTTTTTTTGTCATGTTGTTTGTGGAGTGATTAAGCGTGCTATAATTACAGGGCTCAACAATAAGGAGTGTCCAATTCCCCAGGGCAAGTAAAATGCCTCATTGGGCTGGTAAATCTAGCAACACATGTTTCTGATCGGGCAAGTGGTGAAAATTAATTATACACATTGTTTTTTCAAAGCTGGCAATGAAGGGACGAAAGAGTGAGCTATCTCTCTTCATTCCCAACTCTGTTGAGATTTGCACAAGTGCAGTATCGAGCAGGGGGATTTCAATTACCGGACAGACATCCCAAATCTCCCATTATATGTTAGTTTTGAGCAGAGAAAATGTGATTTGTCATTTCTGTCACCTTTTTCCTGGTAAGGAAAATGTATCCAATATCTTTAATATCAACATAAGATGAACCAGATAAGGCTTACCAGGAGTAAACAAAAGGATTCGGCTTCTACAGAGGTTTCCCCCGGTTTGTTTCCTTTGCCCTGCCCCTTAAAAACAAAAGTGTAACCAACTACTGTTACCACATTCCACAGTGTCTGAAGCAGCTGCCCAGTCTGCCAAATTACCTGACTAACTACACACACATACAGAGAAACCCACATGCGTCTAGGCTAAGAAAAACTGACCCCCACTGGATACCCCAAACGAGTTAGCGAATTAATGCGGACCCGACTTTGTCAAGCCTTGTGTGTGTGTGTGGTGTGCGTGTGCGTGTGCGTGTGCGTGTGTGTGTGTGTGTGTGTGTGTGTGTGTGTGTGTGTGTGTGTGTGTGTGTGTGTGTGTGTGTGTGTGGATACGTGTGTTTCCTGTCTGGCGGTGCATGTGTGTGTGTAGGGTTGGAGGTCCTACAGGGACCACCTTGGTGAACAATGGCTCTTTTATTCCACTGGAGCGTTTGACTGGACTCTGTGTCTCAGAGTAGCCACACACACACACACACACACACACACACACACACACACACACACACACACACACACATACAGTACACTCACAAATTCAAACATACACACAGTGTGTAGGCCGCTAGACAAACACACAATACACACCCCCCTCTGTCTAATCACAGCGTTGTGCTAGAGGGTGGCAGTTGAACAGAGGTAAATATTTGGGTATGGGATGTAAATGCTGGTCTGTGTAAATCACACACTTGTGCACACACACACACACACACACACACTCACTCATGGTAGTCTGTGTAATTCAGACATAGCTACTTCCTTCCTGTGGGGTGATGATGTTTAGTCTCACCACACCACAATCTGATTGGTGCGTTTGATCTCCTCGACTTCCTGTACTGAAGCACTACGACCCCTTCTGGCTCAGATCTGGGATCAGCCTTCATCGGATAGATCCATGTGAACCACATGTAGGAGGGCTGATAACTAGCCTGAGATCAGAAATGTTTGCTAAAAAGGCTGATTCATCCCAACTGTCTGCGTCACACTGGCTGAGGTGTTCTGCAGCAAACTGTTGCATCCTCTCAAGGCTTTTGTTTTTTGTTTTTTATGGGGATCATGTACAGAAGGAACTCCTGCTCACTTGATTATTTTCCCAAGAGAATGATAAAATCAACCCTAAGAATCGCCAAACCCACAAATGACTGCATGATCAACCAAGAATACACACCCCAACATTTTCTTTGCGATATCTCATTTGCACTTGTACAAAGTACCCAGATCATCTAACCAGCTCAGCCAAATCAATTGAGAGGGAAATGAACTTCTAGCGCATTTTACAACTTTTAGGACTTTAGAATTTAAATAAGGGTTATTCAAGTGTTCACACTGGGAAGTGTGAACTTACGCTAAAAAACAAATTGCCTGATTAACAAGCATTTCTTTTCAATTTAGTTCAACGGGAAAATGTCTATTATAATAATAAATTATATTTCTATAGTGCTTTTCTTGAACCCAAAGACGCTTATTATGGTCATTATGGGCCAAATGACGTCCCAGACCAACACAGAAGTTGTAGAAACACTGTTGGGCTACTACGAAAATGTGCTTCAGCGGCCGGCTCACTTTCTGGCGGCTTTGTGTAATCACCAACCAACAGGTTTATGTTGGTTATTTTGTACATTCTTTACATTCTGCCTCTTGATGTCCAGACCAAACAAAAGCCTTTGTGCAGGCAAAGCTTGCCAACACTTCAAAACCAAAGTACAGTGGACAGCTCATCTAACTGGAGCCCTGGCCCCGGGCGGGGGAAGAAACAGATCACATGGTTAAGACAGTTACTGTTGGGTGCTGAATGCACTTTTTATCAGAGTTAGAGGGGCAGAAAATGCTGATTACACAGCAGAGTATATCTTGAGTCAGAAATGAATGAAAGCTATAGTACATAAATAGCTGTTGTATAAATGTCAAATCTTTACTAAAACATTTAATAAAATCCGGAAATAAATTAAGCGTGATTTATTAATCAAATTCAAATCAGATTTATTTGTAGATCACCATGACAAACAAAAGCCCTTTAGCACTTCTAATAAAAACTAAATAAAAGAGCAACATTTAAAAATGAAATGATAATAACCATGCATAAACATGTCTTATGGGTAAGGTTAGCCTACAGGCTAAAGGTGATGTCATTTTCACTGATCGACTGTGATAATGTGTTTAGATTCACATGATTGGCTCAGATGATGCAGTCGTGGCTGAATTCTTTGTATAGGGAAAACAACCTGGATATAAAAGTTTATCATAAAAGTTTGTTTTTTTTGGCTCAGTTTCAACACTACACATCCAAACTAGTTACACAAAGTTATGAAAGCCCTAAGAATAATTCAAATGCAATTGAATGCATGGGTGACTGGGTGGATTCAATGGTTTGTCTTCACCCAGTGGAAGTGGTAATT